TACTTATTGAATTTTTGGACATTTTGTGACGAACTAGATTTTTCCTATCTTACAATGCCTAAAAATTAATTACTTTGGAGAAATAGTCTTTTGAGCTGACATCATCTAACTATTCTTAACAGAAGTTCCAGTGTAGTAAACATGTTTCCAAAATAAACATTTAAAAACCTCCTTTATAAGGTACTAATGAAATAATTGAAAAACATTTTTATGATCATCAAGCTTTCAGGGTAATGCTAGTAGTACCTTTATTTTCTACTCTGATACATTCTTTTCATCCTCACCCTTTTTAACCTCACCAAGAAGTATATTTTAATTACAAGTATGCCATAATCCTATGAAAAAATTTGGGGAGAAGGACTTCGTTGATTTTATATTGTGCAATAGCATTCTTGGAATATTCAAAAGTTGAGGTGTTGAAGAATTTGGCAGAATGGCAACATGTTTTCTGTTACTGTATTGGTAAATTTTCTATCAGTATTTGTCCTATTCTTGAAGTTATAGAAGTTGTGTATGAGAAAACAATGTTGCCTAGATTTCCTGAAGTTCAGACTATATCTCTGGCTTTTTCACCTGGAGATAGTGAAGATGGTTCCTTAGAAATAAAGGAGGCTCTTAGTTGTTCAGGGAGGTGGAGGTAGAAATTTGTTTGACTTATACTTTGTAGAACTTTATTTACCTTAAGTTTTCGGAATCATGATTTTAATAGGACTTCTTTGATTTTTACAGTATGTAACTATCATTATTTAAGCTTTGCATTTTAAGCTTTTATTTATTTTATTTTTTAAATATACTTTTATTGATTTCAGAGAGAGGAAGGGAGAGGGAGAGAGAGATAGAAACATCAATGATGAGAATCACTGATTGGCTGCCTCCTGCATGTCCCCCACCAGGGATAGAGTCCACAACCCGGGCATGTGTCCTTGACCGGAATGGAACCTGGGGCCCTTCAGTCCGCAGGCCAACGCTCTATTCACTGAGCCAAATCGGCGGGGGCTAAGCTTTTTTTAAAATTCCTGTAAATGGCATGATACATTCAAAACACCTTATATAGTAGTGCCTGATTTATAGTCAGCACTCAGTGTTAGACATTAAATAAGGTAAAGGTAACTTTACCTAGTGTATTTGATCAGCTGTTTTGAAGCTTGTTTGGTATGGGTCACCTTAAAAACAGTTATGATTCCTGCTATGAACCATATTTTTATTTACTTTGATTTAGTACATTCCTACATTATAGGATGGATTTTAAAGACAACTTTGAGTGATTGTTATTTTTATCCTTAAAAATCATTTCTACAGGTGAAGAATATATTATTAAGGTGTACTGCCTAAACTGTAGTTTTTGAAGTAAACAAAATATTATGGCCATTTAGCTAATTACAGGTTGATAAACTTTTTTTATGGGACTTATTTTACTTATCTATAAAGTGAGACTATTGGTTCAGATCCTTCTCCTTTTCAACCCCAACATCCTGTGACTCTTGACTTGAGAAAGTATTTTTTTACTTCTTTTCTGAGCTTGACTTTAATTTGTGGGTTTAAGCTCTTCTAAAAGGGGGTTAGGAGGTTTGGGACTTGGCCAGAATGCAT